TTGAGGTAAAATTGTAATTGGCTATAGGATTAATATCGGGCCCAACATACCTCCGTGAGACTAAATAACTCCATAATTGGCTATAGGATTAATATCGACCACCACTGTCCAATCTCAACCTTTCCAGGAGGATGATACACAAGTTATCCAACTCCTTCAAAAACCACTTAGCATAGACTTGGTCTGTTTCCTACTCCAGGCATACAAGGACTCAATTATGGAGATAAATAAAAATTACGAAAACGTAATGTAAAACAAAAGCCTCTTTTTTATTAAGAACCCAAAGAGAATATAATACATAGTAATCTTCTTTAGGGAGAAGAAATTACTTTTAGTCTCTCATAATAGAGACGTTAATACAAACACACATAAGATTTCTAGAAAAGAAAATTTACACATCTTAATACTCAGCGTATTACAAACCATTACAAGACTTTTATTATAGTGAGAAATGTGATGAGAATGCTCGATGCCTTTTGTTTCCTCCAAGTCTCTTTTTATAGAGGGTGGAGACCCTCTATTATTATTTTACCGACAGTAGGTGAATATTTTTGCTGAAATCGCATGCTCCTTGGGTCTGAATTACTGCTCCACTCCATTATTAAAAGTGGTCGCATGGCATAGTCCTTGTTGTCCTCCAAGTGTGTCGTCTTTATGACTCAGATATTTCGTCTGTGTTTTTCCCCCAAATGATATTCTTTCTCCTTTTATCCTGTCCCACCCTTATCATAGTAGGTATCAAGTCGCTATTGAGTATTGACTTGTTTTCTCTTTACACCGGTCAGGGAATTAAATTTTTTGAAATTTCCTTTTATCTTTTTTGGGTTATCTTTTTCCTCCGGATGTTCTCGTTTTACAAGAAAAAGTTTTTCGAACACAGCTTCTCCTGGCTTGGACCAAGCTGGCAAATATGCTCGTGCTATTTCAAACTGTATAACATATTACACGGTTTATAGCGTACATTCTTAGAGGTTGCTAACTTGTTTTCCCACAAGAACTTTCTTTTGTTTTTGAACAAATTGTTAGAAAATTTTGAAGTGGTTGTAGTTAATGAATTAAGTAGAAAAGTTCCATTCGGAGAATTTTAAAATATTTTACTTTATCCATTTCTGTAAGGCATACCCATAATCCGTATGCCCTTCTCACTGCAATTTCATCCTCTGGCATGGAGGTGTATAATGGAATTGCTTTAAGTGCCTTGATCTGGTTCAGATTCCTTTTATTCGGTAATTGTAAATTAATAAATTCAAAGCAGCGTGCTTTCCATAATCACTTGCAGGTTCTGGTGCTATGGAGATGAACTTGAGATCCAGAGTTTCTCCTCTTTTTAAATATGGTGTATTTGACCATGAATCACACAACCTTTTTAACCCATTCTGGTAAACTAGATATTTCAGTAAAGCCTAGTGCTACTGCAAATAGGCAATGGTCCCAAAATTCGCCACTTTCTTATGGTGGTTGGATAAGCTCCTTCTAATGCCCATACCCGTTGGTATATCTTGAATGTATCAACAATAAACCTTTCAAATTTAATGCTTTTCTTTGTCACCAATTCTTTCATGGTAGAATTGTACTCCTGCAAACTAAGTTGGACGACTAGTATTTTTGATAGTGACGACCTTTTTCTGGCTTGTCTGGGGCCTCAGATTGACCTCTCCCTCTTTTACCCCAAAGGTGCTAGTTTGACTAGTCACTTTGGATTTTAAATCCTCAATCTTAGTTTCTTTAGGGTCTAAAGAAAAACTTTCATAAGCAGGTCTGCTTTACCAAGTGAGGTGCCTGGTTTTCCTTTTGGGATTTCTTTGAATCCCCATTTTCTTGAACTATTCTTTGGTTAACCAGTGGTGGACCTGCCTTTATAAGGAGTTCTTGAAGTGCAGCCCATAGTAGGGTTTGCGGCATTCTAGTACCTTTAATACTTGATTCGACCTTCTCCAGGCTGGTTTGCTGAACATTTCCAGCTACTTGGGCATTAATCCTGAGTAGCTCGAAACTTTTGGTCACCTCCTCGATATTTTCTTGAAGATGTCTTACTCTTTTAATAATCATGTATTATTTATCAACTCCATCTCTTGTTAAAAAATATGCAAGAATATTTTCATGAGATTTGATAACTACAATATCATAATCATAATATTGGCATTCAACTTGCCATCTTAATAATCTTGTCTTTTCTGATTTATATTCAATTTCATTTTTTCATAAAAACTTTAACACTTAAGTTATCAATTTTTAAAGTAAACTTTTTTTATAACAAAAATAATGGCCAATTTTTAAAATCTTTTAGAACTACGAAGAATTCTTTTTCTTTGATATACGATCAGTTTGCTTCACTCTCGGTAAAGAGACCGTTGGAATATCGTCAAGAAACTTCTCCATTTGGTGTGGATTTAGTAAGGACTATTGCCCACTAATGATCATTAGTACCTGTGTACAAAACTAGTTCATCTTCATCTTCTGGAACTTTGGAAGTTTCTTACAAACTAGTTCATCTTCATCTTCATCACTCGCACATGTGTGGCTTTGGAAGTTGCTAACATGAATGAGAATCATGTGTAATTAAACAGTTCTAAGTTCTGATGTTTTACATTTGGATAATATGAGTCATCACGGTTGGACAGAAGATCATATTATTGGTTACTTGTACAACATAAACAATGGTTCACAATCTAGATGGAATTGAATAACCAATCGCGAACAGTTGTAGTGTTTATTGTACAGTTTATCTTAATTGATTGATTGCACCACCATACTATGTGTGTATTGAACGGAACCCGCGGAGGACAAGTTTATTTTATACTGACGAAGTAAATTAACTAGACCTCGATTAATTACTATGTACTTTTAACCCGTATGATATAAGCATGCACGTGCATACAGTAGCTCCTACTTTGATTCACTAAAAAGTGCGATTTATTCTGTTGGGTCAGTAATCTAGGTTAGTTAGATAGTGATGTTGCTTGTATGGTGTGTTATTCGAGTTTTTACGGTCACTGTGTGTGTTTGTTTGATGATGTTTTCAAGATGAGCTCAAGAAGTATTATTATGTTAAACCAGGCCGGTGGAATATATTCCGACATAATAATAAAGATTTGAGTGGTACTAGTCTTGGTTCAAAAAGTCAATTAATTGTATTGTCAGTAATTAAATTAATTGATGAGCACTATATCTTAAACACCGGGAGGTAAATCGCGTAATTATTTTTGGAGTGTCAAACTTAATTTGGGCACTAAATGAGTAGTGCAATAATATTTCTTTAGTGGACTGAAATATTATTAAAGTTTGAGTAGAGTGGGTTTGGCCCACAGTTAGGCCCAACCTTGGAAAATCTCATATTTAGCACCTCCTTATGATCCCTGTTGTAGCTAATAAATGCACCACATCTCTTGGGATTTGGGATATAGCTACATGCATATACACGCCCATTCTATCCTAGGAATCCCAATCGAGATATCTCCGAGATCGTCGCCCACCAAGACGAACGAAGAAGGTGTCAGGTCATACAATAGAAGATTCAAGGTAAACCGATGATTGAAATTAGCTATCGGTGATCAACACGACGATTGACGACCTACAACAATGTGTCGTGTAGGAGCAGACGGGCGGCGGTGGCAGGCTGGCCGCAGCCGCACACACAGGCTCTGACAGCTACCGCTCAAAGGCGTTGACAGTAGTCGCACACAGGCACTGCCAGTAGCCGCAGGCTGGCCGTAGTCCCGTGCAAGCCCCAGCCGCGCACAGGCGGTGGGCGTAGACGGGCACACGAGTTTCTCGCATGCGCCGCACTCTTGAGTAAGCGGTGCTCCCTTTCTGTTTGCAATTACCGCTGCAGCCCTAAAAGAAGTTCAAATCACGCGCGAGAGAATCAAGCCCAGGCGCCACATCCCCGGTGATGCCCGCATACGGGCAACACGCGCAGCGTATGCATGACATTGTCGAGCGACAGGCTGGTTGTGTGCGCATCGCGCATGCACGATAGCGTCCCAACGACTTTGTCGCGCGACGAAGGATGACACTCGGCTTGGCGAAGCCCAACGACCCGCAACCAGCACCAGTACACGCAGGCGACCCTAAGAACCAAGTATACCCGCTTGCGAGACCCGATAATGCACAACCACCAGCGAGCCCAAATGAGCCGTCCACGCACCAGGAAAGCTGCAACCAGCCCAAATGACCTTCAGCAGCCCCATTGCCGTCCGATAGCAGTCCAACAACCCCAAGGCGATGCGAGGTGCGACTTGGACACCAGAAGGCGAGACGAGGTGATCATGATGGGACGAGCAATGGCGAGATGAACCGGACCAATGTGCGATGATCGGAAGAGATAGATGACGCGTCTCAGAACCGTTCGTCTGGACCTATAGGCCATGTATATCTGTGCAGAGTCTGCGAATTTTTGAACGGTACGCGTTAAACCCAAACTTTTAGATCTACTGCGTTTAGAATTAATTTGTAGATGATGTGTGGCTTGCATAATTTCAACATTTTTAATTAAGCCCCAACAATCAAAACATTTGTCCACGTGGGCACTCTAGCCAGACATACTGTTAAAAATATCGCCAGCAAGTGAGCTTGAGTTGGTGTTAATACCACAAATTTGCCATATAAATTTGTAAAAGATGAATAATGGCCACTTTTTGTAAAAAGATGAAAACTAGCTATTTTGACACATGGAAATACTAATCTTCAGAGAATTTTTTATTTTAGCCATGTACAAATGGCTAACACAAATTTCAGCCATGTTTTGCAAAAAACACCTTTTTTTAGCCATTTTGGCCTTAAAAAGACAAAAATACCCTTACTACCTATTTTTATATGAAAAAAATTGTCAATTTATGGGATCCATAAATCGATTTGTGGGATTAGAAACGATTTCTGATTATAGAAATAATGTCTAACTGGCTCCAGAAATTGTTTCTGGACCTCGGAAATCGTTTCGGATCCCAAAAATCATTTCTGGTCCTAGAAATCCTACAAATCCCATAAACGATTTCTGGGACAAGAAATCGATTTCCAGTCCCAGAAATCCTAGAAATCCAAGAAATGATTTCTGGTCCCAGAAATGCAAGAAATCGCAGAAATAATTTTTGTACCCCAGAAACGATTTTTGAGTCGTTTCTAGAGTCCATAAATCGTTTCTGGGGGTCTGGACCCCAGAAATCTCAAAAACGATTTTTGGAATCATTTCTAGATCTCATCTTTTGACATTGTTTGTCAGTAAAATACTTTTGTATCTTTGTTTATAAATGTCGTGTGAAAAAGTTCAAATTGTTCATAATGGATTTTGGGATGAGAATGTCTATAAAAATGGACAGGGAAAGATGAACTTTATGCGTTTGGGGAGTTTGTCGTATGAAAACTTTTTAAAAAGAGTTCATGACATTGTTTGTGGAAATAAACACACGTGTGAGTATCGATTTACTTCTTGATGGCCAATGAAAATGGAGAGTTGGAAAATTGGAGAATCTTTTATGAATCTGACTTGCACAATTTGGCCGGATTGTTCTAAATTCCTACTATATATGTTACGTTGCAAGCCAAAGATCGTGGAATAAGTGGATTTTCTACTCAACCACCAACCAATTTTACGCAACACAAAGTGGAGTATCGAACACGAAGGTCATCACAATCTCGATTTGAGTCTGTTTGCAAGCATAAAGACTGCCTATTTTTACTTCGTGCTAATGCAATGGTTGATGGTAATTGAAAAATATGTAAATTCAACCATCATACATGTATGCTCAAATTTTATTTGGAAAAACGGAGAATGTGAATCTAGCTTGCACAATTTGGTCGAATTGTTCCAAGTACCTACTATTTTATGTTACCTTGCAAGGCCGAATTGTTCCAAGTACCTACTATATTATGTTACCTTGCAAGCCAAAGATCGTGGAATAAGTGAATTTTCTTATAAATATGTAATTTTTAATATGTAATTTATTAAAAATATTTGAAATTTGAAATTAAAAAAAATCTTATATCTTTTTTAAGAATTTTATAGTATATATTTTGTTAACAAGCACCCCTGTAGTCACGGGTGTTGTAGTACAAGTAAAATTGAAACACAAATGCAGACATGAGATTTAACCATAGATGTCATATAATAATCCAGAACTCAACATTGAATAGGAAATCATGCGACTACAATTTTTTTGACAAAGCAAAATACTCGACTTCATAACTAACTTCCAAGGTTTACACAAACAAGCACTCTTCCAAAACCGACAGCACAAAACCTCTAAAAAATGCATTAGGGAGGAATTTCAAATTATTTTCCACCAGAATGCTTGGCTTTTGTGTGGGAATCAAGGTCTTGCTCAGATGTAAATATCTCTGCAAGCAAAACCATCATCAACATCACTTACTATTTCAGTTCCTTTCTATCATAAGTTGTAAGATTCTCGCAATAGCGTATACCAAAGTTTAACTTTACAGACAAAAACTACCAGTTATCTTTTAAAATTACATGGAACATGTACATCAGAAACATACATACATACATACTAAAGATGTGTTCAGAATTGGGCTCAATAATTGTAACTATTCATGAAAAATAATCAAAAGGTGATTCCTGGATTTTACCTGATGCAGCTCTTGCAGGAATGTGATCCCCTGGATTTTGGTGTCTGCTGATTTGGCTTGTTCGCAGGTGTCTTCCCAGCCTGTTTTGTTGGTGATGTGTGGCAACATGACCACCAGCCTTTTTTCCATCTATAGAGACAATAAAAATTCTTCGCAAATATTCTAAACATTGGAGACTACAATACACATGAAGCTAGACTTGTTATACTAAATATAAAAGAGAATTACCATTTTTCTGTGGAGTTGCTTTTGCCTTTTTGCTTTGCACGGGCATTTTTGTAGCAGATTCCGATGGTCGCTTCTTGCTTGGCTCAGCTTTCAGAGGAAAGCATAATAAGTTATTTATACATATATGTTACTAATAATAATAATTATTATTATAATAAAGAACCTATACGACAATTAATTGAGGTGCATATTACCTTCTTTGGTGTCTCCTCATCACTCTCAGCAGATTCATCAGAATCATCTCTATCCTACAGTTATTAAAATTTCGCAATTAGTCAAATATTAATACTACAACCAACACGTGATACNGAACAAGAAACACCTATATTACTACATCACAATTTCACATTTTGGTAAATAATTATGTTCAGAGTTGAATTGACTGGCTCTGTAACTACTTTTGAATATATAAGACAAAGAGGGCCAGGAAAGAGGAACATAGAAACATTCACTTTTCGAAATACTCACCAATTTTCGGTGTTCGGAGGTCCTGAAGTCTCAAATTCATATGAGAAAGCAGTATTGCACCTACACATGAGCTAAAAGATATTAGGAACACAGCATTATAGGGTAAAAAAAAGTAACAATATGGAGACAAGGTTGGATAAGTCACATTCGTAACATACAAAATGTATTCTTTAACAATTTTTACCACTAAATAGTCATATACTTTTGAGTGAAGTTATTTTACCAATATTGCATTTCCATATGAACTACTTCTTGGCATATGAGAATTTGACAATAAAAGTTCTACACAAGTAGCCATGTAGCAGATAGATGACCTACTATACAAACAACTATCAGCATCAGATTTATACTTACATGCCATTCTTGGACTCAAAGCATACATGAAAGCAGTCATGAAATAGTACATGGTTCTATGGAATGTAAGTTGGCAACACCAAATTGGGTACTACTCCCCACAGTCCAACACATGCAAAAAGCTGTACATGAAATTTTAAAAGCATATTGGAAGCTACAAGGAATTCAGGGTCACAATATAACAAACCATAACTGGAACTACAACTTTAGAGGTACTGAGATCCTATACTACTCAAACCACAACAAATATCGTATCTTCAATAGCCAAACTACCCCCATTTGTTTCGAGGAACCTGACACCCTTTACATCTCAACTTCATATAAACATGAAACATAAATCTCGTACGGCAAAGCAAATATGTATTGATTGACCACATCATTTGCTCCTCAAAACTAAACATGTTTACAAACAAAGTTTCTGGGGATATCCACTTGCAAAGGAAGATGATGTCATGAACAAAATAACTTCAAATATAAGAACGACAAAAAGTACAACGTTAGAAGAACTTTACCTACCCTGCGTAGATTGCGAACAGTAAGGCTAGCAGGTGAAATCTCCTCTGCCATGAGAGCCACTCATGTTCAACAAGCTCTGGCGTACGGACACTCGTCGTGCGTGGAGGAGCTGGATGTGGCTGAACGGTGCCGTCCGGACGGCACCGTGCGGGACCTGGACGGACTGGTACTGATGAGCCGCGGTGGACAGGAGCCGAGTTAGTTTGGTCGCGTGGGTGCTGCCGACGGGAAGGTGACGCGAACCGGAATGTGGGTGAACCGTGGCTGTGGCCAGTCGCCGCGGAGGACAGAGGTAGCTGGCCGGAAAAATGGAGGTGAAGGTGGAATAATGGTGTTTGCTCTCTAGGGTTTTCTAATGAAGGAGATGGAAATAAGGGGATGAGGTGCTATATAAGGGAGAGGGAGAGCTAGTTAGGGTGTTGCATTTGGGCCTAAAATCGGGTTTGGACTTGGGCTTTTGAATCGGGCTCGATAGTTAATCGACTTAGGCTTATAAAAATTATTTGACTTGACTCGTCAAATTAAATACTTACTTGGTATCGGATATAATGGGGCCAAGTAATTAAAAATCGGCTATGGACTCAATGGGCCGAAATAAAATGGTTCGGCTGGGAAATTTAAATAGTTTCTCAATTTTTTCTAATACTAGATTAAAATAATAAATCGAGACTTAGACTTAGAATTTTATCTCGTTTTCGAAATAATAATTCGAACGTTTGACTTAATAAATTATGCGATTAATAATAAATAAAATACGGCATATATAGTGCCCCATTCGTTTTAGACGAGTTTGCGTATTCCATAATATTTATTTATAGACTAGTACATCTATTTAATTCTAATAAGCTATTAGGGAAAATTGTCGAGCACTACGATTAAAATACAAGCGAGGCGAATAAATAAATAATATGTATCAAATCTATTTAATTCTAATAAGCTGTTAGGGAAAATTGTCGAGCACTACGATTAAAATAAAAGCGAGGCGAATAAATAGACAATATGGAATACGCAACTCGTCTAAAACAAATGGGGCACTACATATGCGCTATTTTATTTATTATTAATCGCACAATTTATTAAGTCCTAAGTCTAAGCCATGGAGAAAACGTTCGAATTATTATTTCGAAAACGAGATAAAATTCCAAGTCTAAGTCTCGATTTATTATTTTAATCGAGTATTAGAAAAAATCGAGAAATTATTTTAATTTCCGAGCCGAACCAATTTATTTCGGCCCATTGAGTCTGTAACCGATTTTTAACTACTTGGCCCATTATTTTCGATACCAAGTAAGTATTTAATTTGACGACCCAAGTCAAATAATTTTTATAAACCTAAGTCGATTAACTATCGAGCCCGATTTCAAAAGCCCAAGTCCAAGCCCGATTTTGGGCCCAAATGCAAAACCCTAACTAGCTCCCCCTTATAAATAGCACATCATCCCCCTCATTTCCATCTCCTTCATTTACATTAAAAAACCCTAAATCGCAAACACCATTCTTCCACCTTCACGTTCATCTTCCTTTGCAAGTGGATATCCCCTGAAACTTTGCCAAATGCTTCTTGAAACTGGTCAGATCTTGAAATTTTGTGTGTTTCTGTTTTAATGTTTTTGCACATCCTGCTTGTTCATTTTAAAAGGGGCTTGTGTATGTAATTAACTTGTCATCTTTAATGAAGCACCAAACCACTGTGGAGAACAAGTACACTGAAGGAAAATGGTAAAAAAAAATTAAAGATTAGGGTGATTGAATTATATTTCAGGCCTTGCAATTCTCATATAGTGTGATTTCGAGCATTTTGACTAGCTTGGATTCCCATCGGACTCTCGACGGGTAAGAGCGGGAACTTCTCATTATGGACTGAGCAAAGTTAGAGTTTTATTTGTTCTTTTTTTCCCGATTTTGTCTCCATCCATTCCTACGGCAATAAAACATAAATATTCTTCTAAAGATTTTGTTTGTTGTAAACAGGGTAGAGGACTTGAAGAAGCGTTTTGGCCGATATGGCAATGTTATGGAGATCGATATTCTAGGGATAAATATACATTGTGAGCATTGTTTATTCACTCATAAATGCATTGTTTAGCTTTCAGGTGATGCTGCTGGTAACCATCTTCATCATCTATTTTTTCTTATAAATATAATTGGATTCAAAATTAAGTTTTTTGAAATTTAGTAGTGAAATTAAGGTTTATGAAACCCTTTAAAGATTGCCCCGCTGTAACCTGGAAACCTTTTCTTTTCATATTTACAGCTCTTTGATTTTATTAAATTAAAATTTTAAACCATTTTTTCTTTCTATAGGGAACCTCGAAGGTTTGCATATATATCTTATGCTGACTCAACTGAAGCTGCCTGTGCTAGAGCTGCGATGGATGAACAGATGTTCCAAAGTCGGACTATCACTGTTGCCTTCAAAGAAGAGGACGGAAATAAGTCAAATGAAAAGAGATTCATGGAACTAAGAGGAAGGTAGTGTTTCGTATATTAAATAAAGTGGTTGTAGACGTAATTAGACTTTTCTGTTTATGCAGTAGAAATATAATGTTCGTTTTATTTCACCTGTTTGTTTAGTTGATTCTTAGTTGATTCTTTATTGCAGAGGCGAATAAATAAATAATATGAATAATATGTTCTCCTATGAGTCGGTGTCCGATCATATGCACTGCCTCTGCAATAAAGAATCAACCAAACAAACAGGTGAAATAAAACGAACAATATATTTCCACTGCACAAACAGAAAAGTCCAATTACTCTCCGTCACTTTATCTACTACAACCACTTTATTTAATATACGAAAACACTACCTTTCTCCTAGTTCTATTGATCTCATTTCATTTGGCTTATTTCAGTCCTCTTGTTTGAAGGCAACAGTGATAGTCCGACTTTGGAACATCTGTTCATCATCGCAGCTCTAGCACGGGCAGCTTCCGTTGAGTCAGCATAAGATATATATGCAAACCTTCGAGGTTCGCTACAGAAAGAAAAAATGGTTTAAAATTTTAATTTAATAAAATCAAAGAGCTGCAAATATGAAAAGGTTTACAGATGTAGCATGGACAATTAATGTCTTTAAAGGTCTTCATAAACCAATTTCACTACTAAATTTCAAAAAACTTAATTTTGAATCCAATTATATTTAACAAAAAATATAGATGATGAAATAATGAAGATGGTTACCCAGTGGCATCACCTGAAAGCTAAACAATGCATTTACGAGTGAATAACAATGCTCACAATGTATATTTATCCCTTGGAATATCGATCTCCGTAACATTGCCATATCGGCCAAAACGCTTCTTGAAGTCCTCTACCTTGTTTACAGCAAACAAAACCATTAGAAGAATATTTATGTTTTATTGTCGTAGGAATGGATGGAGACAGAATCGAGACAAAAGAACAAATAAAAACACTAGCTTTACTCAGTCCATAATGAGAAGTTCCCGCTCTTACCCGTTGGGAGTCCGATGGGAATCCAAGCTAGTCAAAATGCTCGAAATCACACTATATGAGAATTCCATGGCCCAACAGAGGGAAATATAATTCAATCACCCTAATCTTTTAATTTTTACAATTTTCCTTCAGTGTACTTGTTGTCCACGGTTTGGTGCTTCATTAAAGATAACAAGTTAAATACATACACAAGCCCATTTAAAATGAACAAGTAGGATGTGCAAAAACATCAAAAAAAAAAAAAAAAAGCACACAAAATTCCAAGATCTGACCAGCTTCAAGAAGTGGCAAAGTTTCAGGGAATATCCACTTGCAAAGGAAGATGATGTCGTAAACAAAAGGGAAAATTTTTATTTCCCTCCTCAAGTATACGGTTTTTTTAACTTTGCCTCCTACGCATTATTTTCTATAAATTTACCTCCTAAACTTTACGATTTTTTTCATTCCCATCCCCCTCAAACTTCCGTTTAAAGATCTGTTACATCCCATCCCCATGTTCCCCATTTTCCTTTCTTTGAACCCTAACATTCAAAGGGAAGAAGAACTCAGCTCCAAAATTCTCAAATTTCGACCCTTCAAAATTGAGACGAAATTTTTGTGTTACCTTGAGCACCATCAATTCTTATAGGCCTCAATGACGTGCATGGTTCAATGAGACTATCAAAGAAAGATATCAGCTTAGAATAATTTGGTTCCTCATCAAACTTCATATTAGTAACAGTCTCGAGGAACTGTTTGAACGGGGCAGGGTAAAAGCAACACATTAACTCTGGAGAAGTGCTCATTTTCTTTTTACATACTAGAAAGCTCTTGTTATCTCCCTGCCAGTGCCAGAAACAATTAGACCAATAAAGTCAAAATCAACAAGATTCGCTCACAGAAGTTACTTAAGCAATGATGCCAATCACCTGATAGCCTTGCCAAGGCAACCTTCCTTTTATTAGAAATATCAAGGTGTATGCCAGCGATTCAAGATCATCCCTTCTACTTCTTGTACGACCCTCACACTTGCATACCTTATTGTGCCTCTGTCAAAGACCAACTGAATTTATTATTCAAAACTACACCATGATCATGCAAAAACACTTCAAAACTTTCACTAACCTAAATATATCTGGCCTCTGGTCATACTCGACAATAGACATGCTGACCAGATGAAGAATCTTTCCACCTTAAAGCTGCATCCCACATGTACATAAAACCAGAGCGGACTATGTACAGAAAGAAGTGATTGTGCAAAAAAAAATAAAAACTTAAAATAGAAGGCAGCTATAACATATAAGTACTACGACAGTGAAAATTTAATTGCATTCTCTGTCGTACTACAACAGCAAATTGAATTAGGTGAGTATTTCAGTCTCTATAATGAAATTTTGAAGGGATTTGAAGGGTCGAAATTTGGGAATTTTGGAGTTGAGTTCTTCTTCCCTTTGAATGTTAGGGTTTAAAGAAAGGAAAATGGAGAATTTGGGGATGGGATGTAACGGATCTTTAAACGGAAGTTTGAGGGGGATGGGAATGGAAAAAATCGTAAAGTTCAGGAGGTAAATTTATAGAAAATAATGTTTAGAAGGCAAAGTGAAAAAATCGTATACTTGAGGAGGCAGATAAAAATTTTCCCTAAACAAAATAACTTCAAATATGCTTAAGAACGACAAAAAGTACAACGTTAGAAGAACTTTACCTAAAGCCCCTGCGTAGATTGCGAACAAAAAGGCTAGTAAGTGCATCTCCTTTGCCATGAGAGCCACTCATGTTCAACAAGCTCACTCATGTTCAACAAGCGCAGTAACGGGCGTACGGACACTGGTCGTGCGTGGAGGAGCTGGAACGGGGCTGGACGCGGCTGAACGGTGCGGTTACGTGCACGTACGGACAGCAACGTGCGGGACCTGAACGGACTGGGTATGTGCATCTCCTTTGCCATGATTGCCACTATTTTATGATCGAAAAAACAATTTGTAAAATAGGATAATATTCAATCACCCCCTTAGCTTTTGAAATCCAGAAGATCATTGAGAAAAAGATTAAAGGGGTGATTGGATATGAATTCAACTAGTAAAAAATTGATTTTTTTTTAACTATAGTTAAGTTTGAAAAAATGTGGTATGGTTAGTTGTTAGTGGATATATCAAAATAATATTTAAAATAAAATAATTAAAGTTGATTTGATGCAAAAGTAGGAGAAAATGATTGGAAGTGATGGTTAGTTAAAATTATGTGAGGGGATGAATAGTGAATAAAAGTTGATGTGATGTGTAAGAATTATTGGTTGATATTATTTAATTATATTGATAATATTGGAGGGTGGAGTTGAGTTAAAGTTGAGCTAAATTTGAGTTTTTATTGATTTTTTTCTGTATAATTTATACAATCGCCCCCTAAGGGACTGGATGCACTACTCACCAGAAAAACACCAGATATGGGAGGAGGAACCCTTTCAGATTCCTGAACGGACTCGACAATGTCCTGCAGTCTGACATTTCAGCCACTCTCGCAAGGTCGAGCAAGTGAGTACTGTTTCTTGAGGGCATCATCATCATCCACAACATGGTTTTCAAAGTCCACAAGAAGCATCATGGCAGGTTTAAGTCTTCCTTTCTTCGACACGTCCTCTGGAGGAATATCGACAACTCCAACTTCGCTGGCCGAGTGACTCAGCGAGCTACAATGTTATGAGACCAATATTCATTATACAAATTCATTGTTGATCTCAAATCGATTAGAAAATGTTTTGAAGTACCCAAAGAAATAAATCACCTTTGTAAACACAACTTTGCTCTCGGTGTCAGAAGTAGGCAGGAAAAACGTGCCGACTGCATATTCCCCAGGTGCAGGAAGCTCAAAACCAGCATCTTTGGTAGCCTAAAAACACAATCCAGAAACCATCAACTCCAGATTTCATAATACATAATCCCAAATTCATTTAAATGAACAAAAAGAAAGCATATTCAAAAGAACCAGAAATAAAAAGTAAAGTTGTTTATCTAGTTAAATTAGTTTCACCCTTTTTTTAACAAGATCTTCATTTAAAGGTAAGATGTCAAAAACTAGCTCCATCTTGATCAAACAAACAACCAAAATTATTTACTGAGAAGAATAGACAGATCTTTCTTGAATATTTTATATTTACAGAATTGAAGGTATATATATAAGTTGAAAAAAATCATCCTCTGTGTAATAATCACGTGGAAGCCCAACAAAAATTCTAGCTCCATCTCCAGTATTCGTCTCGCAGCCACATGTACTTCTGTGCGTAATTCGAACCAACATTTCAATAGCGTCCGTCACCTAAAAATCAAAACTTTAAGCATCATCAACGGAAACATACACATACACGAGCACAAAATTCACAGGAAAGTACCGTTTTACGACTGCTTTCATCGGGAAGCTCCACCACGAACCCAACCCCGCACGAATCCTTGTCAAACGATGGATCGTATAGCCCGAGCGGCTTCTCAGGCACCTAGACAACGTATTCTTCAACACGACCCGCAGCTTTGAGGCCAGACCCGACCCGAATGCCTGCTCCATATGCACTCTCTCGTCTCCGGATAACGCTCCGGCCGCATACCCTCGCACCAGAGACGAACCTGCTCTCGAAGTCAAACCCCCGCTGCTTTACGGCGAATCCTCGGGACGCCCAAACCCTCCGACCCAGAGACGCCACCGCATTTAGCTGGTGGTTCAGCGCGCAGGCGGGTCACGTCAAGCCGCCGACGCCGCCTCTAACCTGAAGCCCAGATCCCGAACAGCTGACATCTCCTGATAATCCCAAAGCTATCCACAACCGTTGAATCGTATCTTCTTTCGGTCACAACTGGGTCGATTTCTATATTTGTATTTTCTTTATTATTTGTGTTTGTTCCTATATTTGATTAACAAGTGTTGTCATTTTCTTTATTATTTGTATTTGTTTTTATATTAATTTGAATTACTGTACAATATATAAAATATAAATAATTTGTATTTTCTAGGTAATTATAAATTTAACTAAGTAATTGAAAATTTGAAGTTAAAAAAAATTAAAATTTATAAATATCCTTAAGTAATTTTACATGTTAACAGCTATTTACAAACAGCTAATTTACTAAACAGTTTTATAATAAATCGTTAACACAATCCGCTGGTCAAAACAACTGACACAATACGCTGTCAAAACTACTGACATGGCCCGTTTGGTATATAGCAGATTGAAGTTAAATTAGCAGATTGGACTTAATTGAGAGGTTTGACCCGTCAAATCCGCAATTTAGCTTGTTTTGTAAATAGCTTATTTGATAAGCTTTTGGGCTCAAAACTCTAATTTAGAAAAAGCTCATTAGAGCAGCTTTTTGGGATAGAGGATTCACAATTGAGAGGTTTTACTTGGAACTTTTTAATTTGTCTTATTTATTTTACAATCTTCATTAGTTTATGGAGTTAAAAAATAATAATATATCATCAATATGATTAATTTATCTAGAAAAATGTAAAATTCATAACTTCTTCATCAAGTGTTAGTAAATTTAAAAAATATATACATATATTTATAAATTACCAACTAAAGAATATTAAATATTTTAATATATTATTATTAAAAAAATACACCCTAAATAATAAAATGTTCTTATTGGCCATTTTGCAATGTCAAACAGCTATAAGCTTTCAGCTATTTACCAAACACTTATTTAAAAACTGCTAATGCAATTCGCTGGTCAAATTAGCTAATATAATTCACTATCCGCTATCCGCTATCTGTTGATCGTAAAACAATGTCATAATCCGCTAACAACTAATAGCTAACCAGTGATTAGCAAACAAGGCATCTTTTTACAAAAAGTGGCCGTTATTCATCTTTTACAAATTTATATGGCTATTTTGTGTATTAACACTTTGACTCGTGGTTGCAAAATCTAGATAAGGTTGTGCCCTTTTGCCATTATTCAATAACTTTTGTAAATTGTCAAAAACGTGCTGATTTAATCGGGAATTTGGCCGATTTTAAAAAATGAGCTCTTATCTAGACAAAACTGGAAATTCGTACCTATTCGGTCATAGTGCCGAGCTCTGCCAGCGCCCAGCTGCCACAATCGTACTATCCAACTCCAATTGCTCTTCAATTTCCACCCGCAGCTAAAAAATGAGTGGGCATTACCCGGCATCCATACACCCGACCCGAACCCGCATAGGTTGGATAGGCATCGGCGTTATGGGCGGCGCTATGGCCGCCCGCCTCATCTCCGCCGGCTACTCCCTCTCCATCTACGCCCGCAGCCCCTCCAAGGCCGCCTCCCTCCTCTCACTCGGCGCCAGCCTCGCCGCCTCCCCTGCCGACCTCGCCGCTTCCAGCGACGTCGTTTTCACCATGATCGGCCACCCCTCCGACGTCCAAACCCTCGTCCTCGACACTCTCCTCCCGTCGCTAGACCCCGGCACCGTAATCGTCGACCACACCAGCAGCCACCCAGCCCTGGCGAGGCGAATTTACCGATCCGCCCTCGAGAGACGCTGCTATTCCGTCGATGCCCCCGTCTCCGGAGGCGACGTCGGCGCCAGAGACGGCAGACTTGCGATTTTTGCCGGCGGGGACGCGGAGGTCGTTCAGTGGCTTAAACCGCTGTTTGATATTTTGGGGAAAGTGAACTATATGGGCGGAGCTGGGAAGGGACATAGCTGTAAAATCGCTAATCAGATTGGGGTCGGGGTGAATTTGCTGGGATTGAGCGAGGGTTTGGTGTTTGCCGGGAAATCCGGACTGGATAAGGAGAAGTTTCTGGAGGCTGTGGGTGGTGGGGCCGCTGGGTCCATGGCTATGGAATTGTTCGGGAAGAGGATGGTGGAGAGGGATTTTAGGCCGGGAGGCTTTGCGGAGTATATAGTGAAGGATTTGGGGATGGCTACAGATGTTGCAGAGGAGGAGGGGCAAGTGGGGACGGTGGTGCTGCCGGGAGCTTCACTGGCAAAGCAGTTGTTCTCGGGAATGGTGGCGAATGGAGATGGGAAATTGGGCGCACAAGGTTTGGTGACGGTGGTCGAGAGGATCAATGGCTTGGGGGCTGAACATGGTGAGATTTCGTGTAGTGTTGCATAATTTTTATTTATTTGTTATAATCTGGTTTAGTATGTGGATTTGTTTGCCCCGTTTTTTGTGTGTTTGCTGATAGGTGGAGAAACTAATTGGATTTATGGTTCTGATTGAATAATGTGTGTTTTGTGATTGTTTTTGTTCACACCCATCTTTGCAAATGGGGAGACTTGCTTTGGTGGATTGATCTCTTTCGGGAAGGGAGTCGGATTGCAAGATGGGGGTTTTTCGCCATTAGTGAACCACTTGTAGCTTTTCCGTTGGTAGAGAAGTTTCTGTTACTTGCATTCTAATATGAAAATATGATGTTATTGGATGAAAAGTTTGTAGTTCTTTAACAGCATGCTTCTAAGAATTGTATTTCAAACTTTCAATCATACTTCTGTGTGTTTTATTAAGTGATTTATTGTGAGGAATACTTCCTCTTGCCAAAAGTATTCATACTCATTAGAAACTGATTAGGAAGGAATTTGGATATCTGAACCAAACAGAGATATGGAGGTTTCTGTTTCTGTTNGCTTGTTCTTTGTGATTCCATAAACAGTTCGTTTTTATGCTGTCATGTTTTAATTTTTTATGTTCATTATGCCAAATGTCCAAATGTAAGCATGTTGGAAACTATGTTAGAGGTGCATTACTTATTCAGTTCCAATTTTCATGCAGTGTTAAAATAACTTGGCCGTAGCCTGCCTCTGTTTGATAGCATAGTGAGTCTATCAAAACGCGATTTTCATTGATCCGCATGTCTTGTTAGCACTGTCACCAACTTCGACTCGTCCGCCTGAAAGCCTGATTGATCATTGTGCAAGAGCTGTCCTGCATCTTTATTTTATGTCAATATTTTTATATATTAAATTTATGATGAGACCCTCGTCCTGATTGATCATTGTGCAAGAGCTGTCCTGCATTTTTATTTTATGTCAATATTTTTATATATTAAATTTATGATGAGACCCTCATCGTAGACATAATGATATAGTTTGGCTTGATTCATGTGTAGCCTATATGTAATGTGCTGTTATTTTATGCATGGGATAAATAACTTCAAGAACTATGATAGGTTGTGAATGTGTAATATATGTATAACTAATTACCATTATACATCTAATTCCCCATCAACAAACAATAGGAAATGTCTATTAAATGAAAAAAGTCAGCCTGTCCGACTTTGCTCGTTAAAACTCGAGTTCGACTTGTTAATTTGATGAATGAGTCGAACTTGAGCTACAGCTCGTTTAGTCAATGAATCGAGCTCAAATCGTTAAGAGTCGAGAAATCGAAGTTCTTTAAATAGTTTCTTAAACTTTAAATTTAGTTCGACTTGTTAAAGCTTAAGATAGGGTCTTTAACTTTGGTAAACGAGCTAAGATCAAAGTCTGCTTGGTTTGGCTCAATAAAGGCTTGAGTGGAGCTTGAGTACCAAATGTTCGAGCTCTCAGTTTATTTTTAATCCTCACATTAAATGTGATTATTGACATTTTAAGGGTGCAAACGGTTATTGTCAATATTTGCTACTTGAGCTCGTGTAGCATCAGATGCGTTCATCTTGATCTTATTTGGTATAGTAGTTGATCTCAAGCTTAAAATAATAGTGATAATAATAATAATAAAACTTGTTTATGCAAGCATGCTGAATGTGAACTTATGCCAACTTGTGGAGGGCATTGATTGTGAAAGAAATAAATCCTATTTAATTTTTCATATTCATATGGTAAAAGGACGGCGGCATTAATGTTGATGTTAGACATAGAATTGCAACCGGTTGGTTGAAATGGCGTCAAGCTTCGGGCTTTTTCTGTGATAAGAGGGTGCCACAAAGGCTAAAAGATAAGTTTTATAGGACGGCAATTCGCCCGGCGATGCTATACGGTGCTGAATGTTGGCTTACAAAAAGGAAACATGTCCAACAACTAAGTGTAGCAGATATGCGTTCTGCGGGCACACAAGAATGGATAGAATCCGGAATGAGGATATTCGAGATGGGGTGGCTCCAATTGAGGAGAAATTGGTTCAACATCGGCTGAGGTGGTTCGGACATGTCCAACGGAGGCCTTCTGATGCACCGGTGCGTAGGAGAATTCCACAGCGGGTCGATGATGTAAAGAGAGGTAGAGGTCGGTCTAAACTCACTTGGGAATAGTCGGTTAAGAGAGACCTTAAAAATTGGAATATCTCCAAGGATTTAGCGGTGGATAGGAGCGCTTCGAGACTAGCAATCAACGTGCCAGAACCGTGATTTTTGCTCATTTTCTTTTTGCTACAATCTCTTCCTTTTGTTTTGAGCCATTTTTGTGTTTCTCTTACCATTGGTTCTCTTGGGTTTCATCTCTAGCCTACCCCAACTTGCTTGGGACTAAAAGGCTATGTTGTTGTTATTGTTGTATGGTAAAAATTTGAAGTTTTTATTTGAACCTATCATTTCTGACATTTCTCATAAAGGTTAGTGTTGATATAAGAATTATCTGAATAAGTTTGAGAACACGTGGTGATGATGTGTGATCGACGTCTTTCTTAGAACCTATTCCAATGATGTGAATGCCTGCAAAAAAGCCCCGGGGTTGACTCCAGGGTATACCTGGAGGTAAGTTAATGTAGGGTTAAGGTGGCGGCTATTAAGTAAGTGTGGAGTGTAGTTGTGAGTAACCTTTACCTTAGTTTTGATCATTCTTTTCTAGATGTTAGATCTAGGTCTTCTTCCTGCATGCGGGGCTCTCTTGGCCTAACTTTTTGGTGGATTGCAGCCCACGGATTGGGCCTTCACTAGATCCTACTAAGGATGTATATTAGTTTTAACATTAGGTCTTTACATTCCTTGGAACACATATGTCGGTATTGTTATTGAATGAAGCCATGTGTCAATATATTCTTGTGTTTTTCCTCACCAATTGCCCCACATTTTATGTGCACGATAATTTTTTACGTGTCAAAAGATAATTATCAGTGACATTTTAAGATGACTTTATATGTTTTTAGTATTATTATGTATTGTTTCACGTGCTTGTAGTCTAGGCTCCCGATATAATGCCTCCTCATTCCCCCATCAAATCTCACTTTTGAGATATGATTTTTAAAGTTAGAGAGAGAGATCCCGTTCTTAGAACTAACTAATCCTTTGCTACATTGTAACCAAGTTTTTCGAGGGTTTGAGGTAAAACTTCCTCCCTCTCATTATTATTATTATTATTATTATTATTATTATTATTATTATTATTATTATTATTATTATTNCTCCCTATCATCCTCACAAGCCTTTCCATTCTTAGTTCCTCCCATTCTCACTTTTATTTGTCTCATTTTCCCTATCACTCATCCTCTTCATTCAGTAATCAGACAATAATTGAATTATTTCTTTAATAAATATAATAAATAAAAAATTAGAACACACACATATAAATAGGATATCTAAATCTGAAAATTGAAAAGAAAAATAAATAAATAAATATAATTTAAAAATTAAAATAATAACCCTTAGGTGTAGATAAAAAATAATATCTGATCTATATTAGTATGGTAAAATATAAATATGTTAGTGATTATTGAACTCTTATTTAGATATATGTTATTATACGCTATAAAATTATATAATGTACATATAAAATAAATAAAATACTATATAATGATCATATAAAATAAATAAAAAATTATATATTAATTAAACCGGTTCGACCGGTTCAACCACTGGTCCAATCAGTGAATCATTGAACCAGTAGCTTTACCAGTTCAGTTTTAACAACCTTGGTTTTTACTTTTAATATATGTAAAATTTTGTTTGATTTAATCTTTCATCTTCTAAAGCACAATGTAATGCGAGAAAAATTTCCTACTCAAGCAATTTATTATTAATATAAGAAACAAATAAATGTGCATCTTAATAATATAAAATAAAAAAATTAAAACTTACAAATAAAACAAAAACTAATGCATGCAAATACAACATTTCTCNAAAAAAAAAAAAAAAGAGTTTAAGAAAGAAAAGTAATACACCTTAAGTTACCAACCAAAAATTTGAGCAAATTTTACAATTGTTATTTCCCGCACACTTGAGCACGATCCTCTCCTCAATGTTCCACTCCGATCATTCGATCATTGCCATATTTATTATCCCCCCTATATATTAATTCAGAACATGCTGAGCCTATGTGGTAGGCTCGCATGCTTCTGGATCCTATGTGTCAAAATAATATGCTTCGTTATTAGGGTTGGGTAGATTTAGTTTACTTCTAATCCAAATATATTTAGGTTCTGATTATCTATAAATATGTTGATTATTTATGGTAGGGTGGGCGCGGTCCGGGACGGTCCTGGATTTGACTTGTCTAGATACCCATCCCGCTTTTATGAATCTGTCCATGAACGGTCCGGAATGAGGCACCGTCCCCACCCATGTAATACATGGGTGTTCTACAAGTTATCTTTTATATAAAAACAACAAAGACGAGCTGCTTCTCACCAAATGCTTAATTTTATATCTTTAGCTATATGCCCTCACGGTTTATCAAAATGTATCATCTAAAAATAACTGGAAATCGGTTGTCCTCTATGATGATCTCGTCAAGACACTTTACCTTAATACGCCTTGGTCCACTGTAGATGGAACATGTGACGGTCTCATCGTGAATATGAAAGGTTGGTCAAGTACCACACGATTTATGAAATGCCTGAGTGAAATCTGCTGAAAAATGTTTCTAGGGGCCACACAGGTCGTGTGGATATCTTCGAAAGCTCAGTTGAATTTGTTTCGGTAGTCACACAACTTTGACGGCAAGTTACACGAACCTTCGGATGTCGGGTATACAAAGTAAATTAATGATTGGATAGCTCTTACAGTTTTCATGTCTGTTGGACGATAAGAAAGAGTTTTTGAAGGAGGAGGAGGAGGAGGAGGAGGAGAATCACAGTTGAAGTTATTGCCTTGATTTGTGGGATCAATTTTTGTTTAACTGATAATAACTTCCTTAAAAAATTGTTGTTACCAAATTTATCGTGAAATTAACTTGTAAATTAATTTTTTGGTATGTTTGCAAATAGAATATATATTTTTAGTTGCTTTACAAATAAATATACATAGCTTGTATTAATGTAATAAAGTTGGCAATGTATTTTTGCCCAGCCTACCACAACAACGCTAGTTCTCTCCTTCATTGCTCTACTCTGAGCCCACGACTTCAATCTCCGGCCCACTTGAGCCCATTAGGAGTATGGGAGACGCTCCAGAAAAGGGCCGTCACTTCAATAATCCGGATCCGCCAACTCGATCCAACAAAAATTGAATTTATTTTCTTCCTCGAGGCGGGAAATTCCACGCTCTGTAATTAATTCCGTGCGGCCAAAACGCAAACAGTTGGCGTGCAGCAAAGAGATCTACAGAGAAAATGTCGAAATTCGAGTACCCGAGGCTCCCTCGCCAAGAGCTCATCACCGTGCTGGCCGAATCCCAAATCGCCGTCGTGTCGGAGGCCGACCTCCTCCGTCCCGATCCGGACCAAATATGCAACCTCTACGCGCACATCTTGTTCCACATAGATATCTTCCAGTTGAGCAGAAAATAATTAAACCCTAGAACTTGAAACTTCAAGTTTGTTTGTGACCTTACTCTGTTGGAATCAATTTTCTATGAATTCTGCAGGGAGGACCAGGGGCAGATTGAGTTTGGGGCGTTGGAGCAGCTCGAGAACCCGGATCATCACACCCACTCGGTTCCGATCATTAATTTGTACAACAAGGTCAGGCAGCTTGTGGCCGCCGTCAATTGTCCCAAATCCTTTACTCCCAAGGATTTGATAAAGCCGGAGCCTGATCGCACGGAGCTTTTCCTCAGCGCACTTCTCAATTTTCACCTCCACAGGTGCATTGTCTTTCTTTTCAATCATTTGCTCTTCATTTTCATTTTTTATTTTTCAGTATGATGTGGGNACGAAATTAGACCTGTTGAAACCATATGGGGATGATTTAGATCTTTTTGAGAGGCGGCAAGAAGAGGCTCAAAACAGAATTCAAGAGGTTGATTGTGTGGAATCTTTATGCCGATTGTTTTACTGGATCTTTATTGATTTATAAGTTCACTTTTATTTTTTTTGTTTTTTCATTTTCTCAGTTGAGTGCGGAGATAGCGGATTTTGAAGAGTTGCGAGAGAAGGAATTGCCGATTGTTCAGGAAGTAAGTTCTAAAGTCAAGGAACTGCATCAGAGAGTTTCAGAACTCAACAAGTACCAAATGAAACTCAAAACTGAAATTAAACAAGAGAAGGAGAAAATCAAAGAATTGGATGAGAAGGTTTGTATTTTGGTCGAGTGATTTTGCTTTCTACTAAAAATTTTAACTTTGGCGATGTTTTGGTTCTAAACTGTTAACGTTGTGTGATCATGACTTTAAACATTATTCATTTCTGATTTCTGTTATTTCTGTATCAGATTTCTAATGCAGAATTCGCACTAGTACAAACTGCCCAAGAAAGTGCTAGTTTACGTTCTAAAATTGTCCAGTCGCCAGACAAGCTTCAGGTAATATATGTTTAAGATGCTGTAAAACAATTTGTGGCTCCAGTTCAAGGTGATGTACTTTTATGCTTCCCCCTCTCCATTCTCATGTGAAGGCTGTAGTTCACTGTTATTGTTACTGAGAAATACCTACTTTACTAGAATCCATGGTAGGTTGGGTGGAGTAGAATTACCTCACTGTTCGCACGAATCTTCACAATAGATTTACTTTTGTTTTGTTTTACCATTGAGGCTTTGATTATAAATCGAGGCTCATGTCCTGACGGGGCAAGGTTCCATATGACATTAGCCTGCATTCCTCGATGCTTATCATTTATAAAAACCAGTTTCCACTATGTTTTAATTTGTGCCACTAACTTTTTCTTCTCTATTTCCCTCTAGATGTGAGCATAGCATTCTTAATTACACCAGGAGCTCATGTTAACCCTGTGCGCTGAGCCTGACATTTACTCCTTCCTTACTTAAGAGAAGCATTTGATTTTTATATTTATTCAGTTATATCCTTTGAGTGAATATGTATCACCATTTTTTGCATGCTTTAGGTGGAACTAGTTATGAAAAATTCATCTGTGTTGGTTAAGTTTGTGCGTTCACCATATGTTACTTTTTCGTACCTGGGTAAGTTCCTTTCTTTGGGAGATTGTTAATTAATGAAACCTTAATAGCCTTACTGTAATTTTATATTTATATTATAGATTTCTTATTTTTTCTGTAATTTATTTTCAAAAAATAAATAATTAAATCAGAGGGCTTTGGAGGAGAAAAAGTTGGTCCAAATTGAAACAAAAGATGCCGAGAGAGCTGCAGTACAGTCCTTTCAGGAGAAGACTGCCACCCTGGAGGCCTATGCTAAGGTATCCTGCACTCTTTAACTGCTTATGTCATTTGATCTCCATCGACATATGTTTTGAGGCTGAATTGTACAACCTTCGCATTTTCGTTTGCCATATTTGAACTAGTCATGCATACATTTACTGAATTATTACACCTTTTAAGAAGCTCAATGAGCTTGATGAGATTTTTCTTTTATCGCTCAGGCTTGCAAGAAAATGTCAAAGCACTTATCTCAGATGCAAACCCTTCAAGAGCAGGTTTGCCTATAATACATATATAATGATTTACCATCATGTGTTGTTCATTATCTGAATTGGATCACTGTTTATCTTGTGTTTTCTCTGATATCAACTCCTACCATTCCGTTCACTTCCTGCCCCCAGACTTTTGCTAGCCACATTAAATTGAGAATATGTTAAGAAAGAAAAGAAATATGATGGGTTCTTTTTTGTCTTTTCTAGGATACTCCTTTCCCTTGTACATAACACAATTTGACTTTCGCTTGTCTTATTTTCTTACCGAATACCTAATTGATTCTTGATTTGTGAATCTGGCTATCCATGGTACCATAGGTAAATTCTGCTAAGACAGTTGATAAAGATGTGAAGATCCTCAAAAACAAGCTTAGTGACGAAGGAGTCCTAATTAAGTCGCTTGAAGCAAAACTCGTGGAGCTGCAATCTAAAGGTAGCCATGTTCTTGACCTGATTTGAATTTTATTCCCTACTTTGCTGTTGCACTTAGAGTTTATTGCATTAATCCAGCTGACCAGTTAAAGGAGTACAAAAAACAGCTGGAGAAGGAGAGAACCCAAACCCATGCAGAGGCAGACAGAGAATTGAAAATTGTGAAATTGGAAGTGGATTCAAAGAGAAATTCGTTGCAACTGAGGCAAAGAGAGGTGGAATTGATTGTTAGCGAGGTAGAGTTTGATACTTCCATTCATTTTTGCTTGTTTACGTAATGTGTTTTGCTGACAATTCTTGTCTACTACTCTACTCCTGCATTTTTAATCTGTGTGGGAACATTTACAGGGGGATGTTTTAACTTCGAGGAGGAAAACTGTGAAGGAGGAAGCAGAAGCTAGAATGCTAGAATTGGACCGTAAATCTGAAGAAATTGTTGCAGAGGTACTTCATTTTATTTCCTTAAACGTTTATTGTTCTATTACTAATAGTGTCGAATTCTGTTATGACGTTTGGCATCATTTAAATATCCCAAGTCACTAAAATGAGAGTGTTGGAGAAATTTGGCCGGTCCCTATAATGCAATTTTATTGTACTTAGACCTTATGATTGCTATTAGAGTTCGAACTGATGATAGTATAATCGTGCCTGCAGTTTGAGAACTACTCAAAACTGATAAGCAACTTGTTGGCGGGAACTTGAGTGGACTGAGAAGTTGTTAGCTTTTCGTTATGACAATGCACTTCGGAATTGTTTTATGTATTATTTAGTGTAATGTGGTGTATCTAAATTATTTTTCATGTTCTTAATGTGTTGTTAAACTGGCCAGTTGATAAATTTTTCCCTAGATGCAAAATTAATGGTCCTCCAGTCAAAGGTGAATCCTTTTACTTTCTTCCCTTTGGTTATGTGTCTTTCAGCAAAACTGGCTCCCCTGCTGCCTATATTTAGCTATTGCGTGCGATCGCAATTATGCTGGGTTTTGGCACCGACACTTTTGATTTTTGTGCAGTGTGTGTATAAATATGCATGTGTTCCGTTGTCTTTAATATATTTTGTGGAAGAACAAAGTAAATAGCCATGTAAATTAGTTTTACACCACGCACATAGACGAGATGCGGGAACTATGATGTTACCACTATAATGCAATAATTTTTTTATTAGTGCTTTTTTTAATAAAACTTGTAATAACTGAATATAATCAGTGACTTTTTTAACACAATGGTTAACTAAAGTGTAATTATGGTTCAATTTTTTTATTATACATTATTTTTTATTAAAATTAACCAATTATAATTCAGACTAAACTATATATGATATATGATAGTTCAATAAGTATAAAAAATTATATTGCAATTTTTTTTCTTAACATAATACAATAATGTTTTATTGGGTTACAATAATGTTTAATTACAATGTTTATATTTTATTCTTTTTATAAAACTTGTAACGGAAATCTAAATAATGACTTTTCTTAAATAATAGTTAATTAATGTGTAATCATATTTTTAATTATTTTATTATATAATAGTTATTACTAAAACTAATCAATTATAATTCACACAAAATGATATATGAAAGTTCAATAAGTATAAAAAACTATATTGCAAATTTTTTCTTAAAATATTCATTGTGCATCTCATTAAGCATTTTTTAAATAAGTTAATTGATTTTAATGGTATAACCAAACTTCTTAAAAATGCAACAACAGCAATAACAGTAATAACAATAATAATAATAACAGTAATAATTTCAATACTTTTTAAGATACTTAATAGATCAGGATCCTTAAAATTTATAATAATTAGAAGATCTATTTCATTAATGCAATAATATAGTGCTGAAATTGAATACTTTTATAATGTTTATTATTACTAATTACAAAAAAATTAAAATATGATACTACTATTTAACTTATAATTTTATTATTATATACATACATATAATTTATAATAATTTAAAAATCTTTGCATACTCACAAGATTGAATACTGATAGATTAAAAATTTGGGTTGTCGTTTTAAAGAGTGAGGAAATGTATAAATTTATAAGGTTGCATTTATCTAAAATTTATAATTTTTAATTTTGAGGAAATGTATAAGTTTAGAAGGTTGCAATTATCTAAAAGTTTTAATTTAATTTGATTGAAATCATTATAAATTTTTAAGTATAATAATTTGGAATAAGATATAAAGATTTTTTTAAAATTTAATAAGTTTTAAATTATTCTAACATATACCAATCATAGATAAATTGAATAGTTTATGATTTTTTTAAAATATCAATATTTGAAATGATTAGGAATTTTGGAAAATGAAAGGAGAAGCGAAAAGCTGAAAGCCAAAAAAACAAATTACACTAAAGAAAAAACTTGAAAATTAAAATTTGGGTTATTTCTTTAATCTACTTTTTCTTCATTTTTTTTTTCAAATACTAGGCTGGCATGTACATTTAATAATTCTTCATGCTTTGTCACCCACTGAAACTGATATTAATTATTAAACATTGAGATAGAGGGTCAATAAATAAGCAGTTTTGCTATGGATTCTGGCTCGAATTATGGAGTCATCTATAGTTATTGATAAATGGTGTATTGACACGTGTCTTGCAATAAATACATTTTGGACAAGTGTCAATATATTAAATGATGGATGACTCCATAAAAAAATCATCCGATGGCTTCATAAAATTTTTGATAAATAAGGTCCCAACTCCCCAAGTTGTCAGAATTCTTAAATGAAAATATCACTGGATACGTATAACACACTTTAACTTTTAGAATTAGAATCTAACAAATGCCCAAAAAATCAGGTGATTGGCAATTTAATTGCTATATAGTATATACTAGTATTGTATCCGTGCGATGCACGGCTAAACAATATTAAATAACAATTATAAATGAGTTTCGCGTTCGACTCACGTAAGTGGGGAATCACTATTGATACCTTTTTTAAAGAGAATTATGTCACGTGTGAAAATTTGAGTACGCAAGGTTTCAAAAATTATTATTATTATTATTATTATTCTTATTAATATATGGAATTTATATATTTATTTATTTTTATATAGCGAAGCCTGTCATTTTTTTTTTAAAAAAAAAAATTGAAGCCCAATTATGTTCCACAATATAATGTACTCAACCAAACTGGTCGAGCCAAACTTAACGGGCCAATAACATATTATTGAATTGACCCAAATAAAATTCAACTATGAAAGCAGACCGAATCATTAAGTGCGACCCAACATATCAATCCGTTATGGCTTAAAAGAATGGATCAAACGGTCTGAATTAGTCAAGCGATATCTAACGTCAGAAATCAAAGATGCCATCTAAAAAAGTTAAAAATATCCAAATTATTATGGTTATGTCATTACTTCTCCTCCTCCCACAGCTTTCCTTCACTATTCTCTCTCTTATATCACTTATAGAAAATTGATAAAATATTCTTTCAAATTTTCAAAAAAATGCTCTATTTTTTAAACAATCAATCACATCTATTGCGAGTCTATTTCTTATGTTAGATAAATCGATATTATATCTTGTCTTTATGTTTAGAAAGATGTCTCTATTATTTTGTTTCTTTTGATTGTCATATTTTTTTGTGTGTTATAAGATTTTATGTTTGTTTTTTTGTCGAAACCGATGAAAAACAGACTCTGTTATTACTATTTCGATCATTTCAAAAGCTTTTCTTTTGAATATCGAGACTTATGTAATGTGTTGTTCAATTATTTTGATTCATATTGTTTTTTTTTTTTTTTTGTAAATTTTAGAAATTTCGTAAGTTTAATGGACGAATTTGGAATAAATTTTCAATTTTCGGTCGAAATCCGAATTTTATTCATTCGAAAAAAATGAATACCGGAAATGAAGTCTCATTTCTATTTGAATGTCTATTTGTTTTAAAAAAATTTACAAATCTTAGTCTGTTATATAAATTTTGACTGTATTTTGAAATTTAATTTAAAATAAAGGTCTTAATCTCTAAAAATGTGTTCAAATCTTCTGTGATTGAACAAATCCCACATTTTAAGGGCATCATTTAATGCTGCCCGATTTTTTTGTAAGAAAAAAAAAATTGCCAAAAGTGGCATGTAATTAATACAGATAGGATTTTGACCAAAATTTGACTTACTATTTTTTAAAAATATTAATTCTTATTATATATACTAGTACGTGGCCCATGCAATGCACGGGGAAATAATATTACGATTGTATTATAAATTAAATATATACATAATATTAATCATGATTTACCCATTGTTTTTAAAATTGGAGCAGACCGGACAGTACTCTGACCGAATAGATAGGGAATTGGTTTATCGACCAGTCCGGTTCGCTTGAATAAAATGTTTGCTAGCAAACCGGTCAACACCAGTCCATCGAAAATATCGATATTTTTGAAATAAATTTTGTTACATTTAAAATTATTTTTAATATAAATGGAAATACATATTTAAATAAAATGTAGATTTATAAATCATTTATCATTTAGTTTAAACATTGAAAACTTTTAAATTATTTAGAAATTTAATTAAAATTTTGTATATATATTGAAACATTGAAAACTTAGTTACCTCCCATGAAAAGAAACATAATTTTCTTCTCATATATATGATATATGTTCATAAAAATGAGATTTTTATGCATACACTTTTCATATGTATGAGAATCTTTAAGATCGTTTAAATTCTCTTAAAAAAATCTATCTATATTTGCATTTTTAAACTCTTTTTGGATTAAAAAAATTTATCTATATTATCATGATTTTTATTATGATTTTAATCATGATCTTATGGGATTTTTTTAACTAAACCGATGTTATGGGATAAAACAAATCTATACTTACCTTTGACTTTTTCAGCAAATGTAAAAAAATCTGTTCTAATTTTTATCCCATAACAAATCTTTAATGTCAAGACTATAAATACCAAAACAAATCTGTAATTGATGTAATTTTATTTTCAGCAAGCATTAATTAACTTTGACTTTTCTGCCTACTATTTCTAGTAAATGGATGTCTTTTTATACAGTACTAGTACAGAGCCCGTGCGATGCACGAGGTGCACAATTTTAAGGCTATTTATCCAGGCTTATAATTATATACATGAATAAAGAAAAATGTACGGGATATATATAGTACGTGACCCGTGCGAAGCACGAGATATATTTATTTGGAGAATATTATATTATAAGATGCAATATTCAATAAAAGTTTATAATACGCAAGAAAATTGTACAATGTTCAATAAAAGTTTTATAATATTCAAGTGGAGTCTTAAAGTCTCTTGTACATTAAGACTACTGACAAAATAATATTTTAATCAATGAGTTTTCTTTCCTTGTAGCCAAATTGTGAATGTGATTTGAGGAGTACAACAAATCGATATATAGCTGACTTGCTTTTTTCATTGTAGTTTTTTTTCTTTTTTTTTTATAATGAATTTAAAGATATTCTAAAATAGAGCAAAAATTAATTTTTTTATTACAATTAGGAATTTTACTAAATATAAACTCTCAATCTATGGTGTTAATCAACGTTTAAGTCTAAAAAATTAGGAATTTTTACCTCTTTTAATCAACGTTTAAGTCTAAAAAACAATAGAGTTATTATAAGTTTTTTTTTTACATCTTTTAAAACATTAAATATGAGCATGTTAGGGCTAGCTTGTAAAATAATTAATATATTATCTCACTAAAACATTTATACTAATAAAAATTTAATTTTAGCATATAAATTTATCCCTTGATATAAGAGAAAGTAACAGTTTTACTTATTGTTGTTCACCATATAATATTTAATTATTATTTTATTATATAATAAAAAAGAAATATTGTTAAATAGTGTAGTATAATTGTTCTAAAATTATATGATTTTTTTTTTTATAATATGTATTTAATATTTTTTTATGCTTTGATAAGATAAATAAATCTATACTTAACTTTGACAAATAAAACAAATAAATACTTTAGTAAGTATTTTATGTATATACTAAATAGGAATATATTTGGTATAATCAAATACCAAATATAATCAAATAAGTCAAAGTGTACATTTTTATTTGGTATTTGATTTTTTTATTATTAAAATCTTTTTATTATACTTACCTTTTTAAAATAAAACAAATAAATAAATCAATTAAATAAATAAAATATTATAATACCAAAATAGTAATGACTTTAATGCAGTTGACTTTTCTGGATAGTAAATGTAGTAAATAGAATCTCCTTTTATATAAGTATAGATTGTATAATATGGAAATAGTAATGCAATAAATATTGTTGACTTTTCTTTATACTAAATCTGGTAAATGGTATACCTTTTAATATAAGTATAGATAGATTTAATTTAATGACACAAAGATGACCTTTCTCCACTTTACGTCTCATTATTGATTCAAACTTTAGCTTTCACAGCGCTAAATATGAAAAAAGGGCACACACAAATATGAAACCAAATTCGTAAAGCAAACTCACAGTCACACTCCCAAGTGTGAGCTCCCTTCACCCCACCCAAACCCAACCACCGGCGCCTCCGCTCAGAAATGCCAGCACGGCGGTTCCTCCTGCTCTTCCTCTCGCTTTCCCTATCATCGGCACTCGTCCGCTCCCACTACACCCCCTCGGACGCCTCCGCCGCCCAGTCCGACTGGAAGCCCGCCCGCGCGACCTTCTACGCTGCTGCCGACCCCATCGACGCCGTCGGCGGCGCGTGCGGGTACGGAGACCTTGAGAAGGGCGGCTACGGCAAGGCCACCGCGGCCCTGAGCACCGTCCTGTTCGGGAGGGGCCAGATCTGCGGCGCCTGCTTCCAGATCCGCTGCGTGGAGGACCTCCGGTGGTGCATCCCCGGCACTTCCATCATCGTCACCGCCACAAACTTCTGCGCGCCCAACTACGGCCTCGACGCGGCCGCCGGCGGGCGGTGCAACCCGCCGAACGCGCACTTCGTCCTCCCGATCGAGGCGTTCGAGAAGATCGCGATCTGGAAGGCCTCGAACATGCCCGTCCAGTACCGGCGGATCGGGTGCCGGAAGGAGGGGGGCGTTCGGTTCACGATCGGCGGCGCCGGGATATTCCTGTCGGTGCTGATAAGCAACGTCGCCGGCGCCGGAGACGTGACGGCGGTGAAGGTGAAGGGCTCGCGGACCGGCTGGCTGCCGATGGGAAGGAACTGGGGGCAAAATTGGCACCTCAATGCGGATCTGAAAAACCAGCCGCTCTCGTTCGAGATTACGAGCGGCGATGGGGTTACGCTCACGTCCTACAATGTCGCCCCACAAAATTGGGAATTCGGGCAGTCGTTTGAAGGTAAGCAATTCGATTCGTAGGCCATCGATTTTGCGATTCTTGGTGAGGATTTAGCGGTACTCTAGTCTAGGAGTTTCCACCAGTCATTTTGTGCACAATGGGCAATTGTAGTGTATTTATCTTTTTCTGTATCCTACTATTTATTTATAAATTTTATTCCAAAATGTAGTGCTAAAAAAAGAACAATTCATTTTAACTCGAAATTGATGATTGAAGCTCGTCTTAGCTCAGTTGAATGTCACCATGTTTTTGATTGAGTAGAATATAAAGCTCCAGCATGATTTTTAAAACTTGTAAGTGAAGTTGTGTACTAATATTAAGTTGTTTTGAGTTCAATTCATATTCAAGTGGAGTAAAGCTTATCCATGCTCGATTGATAAAATTATACCGATCACCAGTTGGGAGGTGTTATTTGGAACGATTTGTTCGCGAGCACAATTTAGTTCGGTTTGTGAAAGCCGCCCTAGATTGAATTGTTTGTTTACAGTCCTGTTATGGAGCCAACCGTTGGCTCCGTTATGGAGCCAACTTGACTGAAAAACGGATTCTGAGATAATCCGTTTTTCAAATAAATTTATTTGAAAAACGGATTATCTCAGAAACGGAGCCAACGGTTGGCTCCATTCCATGTTTGTTTATATACACGAGTCAGAGTAATGTTCATTTATTAAACTAAGCTAGGTTGGAACATGAGATATTCGACTAAGCTAGGTTGGAATAATAAGTGAAGGTACGATACATTTAGTGATTCTTATTTTCTTGTTTATTGATGCTTATTAGCGTAAATTTTGCATATGCTTTTAAAAGTGTCACAAATTATATTGCTAAATTTGATGTCACAAACTATATGTGACACTATGGATGGACAAAACGTGGTTAATCGACCGAAACTGAAATTCGATTTGGATTGAAACCGAAAATGAATATTTGGTTCGGTTTCGGTTTGTATTTTTTTCAAAATTTCGGTTTTTGTTTTTGTATGGATACAAGTGCTCAGTCAATCAAACCAACCGAAAAGCGATATTAAGCATAAATTTACAAAGTTCAATTGAATTATATCTTATCTACGCGCAGTCAATTTTTTATGCTTATTGATATAAAAGAATTTGGAAGAAAATACGAAAGCCTACTAGCTAGCTTAAGCCTATGTATTTTTCCTACACAAATAATCAAACTAAATAAAAATATAATAGCCTAACTCAATCACTTATACCTTAATCCAATTTGGCAATTCCCAAAATTTGCTTGTCGCCCACAACTCTCAATTTTTCGAGCATGTGTGTTTATATATATGAGGCTTGGTAGATTTGAGACACCTAATCGACGATTGTATTTATTGGTTAAAGTTAATTATTTTTTAATGAAACTAATTCTGTGGATAATTAAGTGAGACTTTACATTTTTATTTAAATAATATATAAATTGTAATATTAAAGTTGATCTGATGTAAGTGAGAGAAATTATTGAAATAGGGTCTAAGAGTAAGATCTTTGTTGTTGTTCTGGAGGTCGTCTTCAATAGTGACTTAGGTCATTCTTTCCTCACCAGGCCGCTCTCTCCTAACTTAGGCCGGGTTATTCTCACAGTCCTTTCCCACGTTCGTTCCTCAGGTCGACTTGGCTCTTTTCTAAGTTGGTGGACCTACCAAGACTTAGCGCCAATTTGGTGTAGCCCAGTTATGACTATATCATTATTAATATCATTCTTTAATATTTTTACTTATGATCTATTTTTTAAATATAATATTAAATTAACTTTTATTTTACGATTTTTGATTTGACACTCATATTATATGTATAAATAAAAAATATTTATTTTTAAAGTATTAATAAGTTCATAAGTTAATATCGCATATATAAAATTAACTTAAATTTGTTATGTAATACTGCTTTAAAAAAGAAGAAATTATTCTCAAGTTATTCATATAATAAAATATAAATGTATATAAAATAAAATGTATTTAATATGAAATAATCTAAAATAATAACTAGTATTTTTATCATTCATGGGGTTTAAAAACTAATGTTAAAAAATAAGTAAAATTTATTTCAAGACTCAAGTATATACAATATTAAAATGAAAAACCAACGGGCTATTTGTCGAACTACCACGCAACTTATTACATTATGAAAAACTAAAATATTTATATTGTGTATTAATATAAATTATGATAACCCAACGAATCATCTATCGAACTATCATGTAAATTATAAGTTTAGAAAAAAAATATATTTACAATATATATTGTTATAAACTATGATAACAAACCAATGGATCATCTGTGGAACATGTACAATATTAACTTAGAAAGAAAAAACAATATTTATAATGTATATTATTATAAATTACAATGATAAACCAATAAATCATCTATCGAAAATTATGTAAATTGTTAGCTTGAAAAAAAAATCATCATGTTTACAATGTATATTATTATAAATTATAATGATAACCAATCAATATCGAATTGTCGCATAGTTTATTAAACTAGAAAAAAAAAAAAAGCAAAATATTAATGATATACTTTATTAATTACAAAAAAAAAATATTAAGATAATTTAATGTAACTATAAATATAAATTTTATTAACTTTAATATAGTAGAAAATACATTCTTTTAAAATTAGGTGTATGTTTATAATATTTGTCACAATTTTTCAACTTTACAATCAAGTAGCTAAGAATCAAAGTAATATAAAATTAAGTGTAGATTTTTATATTTGACACAATTTTTTAACTTCACAATCACTTATTTAGGAATGAAAATAATACATTGTAATAAGACACAAATATAGAGAATGACTGCAGTCTCAACACAGAATCATTCTGTGGTTATTATTAGTCTTTTATATACATGTGTAGATTAGTGTAGGGTAGATAATTCACGTTTGAAACATACTGACGGAATCATTCTGGACTGTAGTCATTTTCATAAGTATAAGAGAAGATAGAGAAGTATTTTTTTGAGCATTATTTATTAATAATATTTGACTATATTAAATTTTCATGTTTTTTAATTTTAAACATAAAGTTTAAAATGATTAGTATTTTATAACACGTGAAATAAATATACAAATCATATATTAAATTATTATATATCATAATTATTAAAAAAAAATATTGGTATTAAAAAATATTTTTGTATTAATCAATATTACTTCATTACTTTAATTTGTATATAATATAATTTATCACGAGATTTTGTACTAATGTAAATTATGTTTTTAATTTATAACACAACATTAATATTGTTTTCGTGCGTCGGTCCGCGTACTAGTAACTCAACAACGACTTAAGCCATAAAACGCATTTTGTACTCAAGTGAAGGCAAAATAATAACTGAATCGGCCTCCCAAAATAATAATAATTACCTTTCAAACGCCTCCCACCACCGTCGCCGCCGCCGCACTTTCTCTCTCCTCCTTCCACCGTCAACCCCGGCGCTGAACCCAACCCTCTAAAATCCCCCATGAAATGGCCCCACCAAGTCTCCCCAAAGCCCACCGTGAGAGCCCTTCTAGAACCCATACTCAAATCCCACCAAACCTCAGCACCCCCTTCCTCCTACGCCGCCGTTTTCCAGGCTCTCACCGGCACAAGCCTTCTCAAACAAGGACAGCAGCTCCACGCGCGATTTCTCCTCAGCGGCCTCCGCCCCGACGCCTTCCTCTCCGCCAAGATGGTCGCCATGTACGCCAGCTCCGGCAACATCGCGTCCGCCTCCGCCGTCTTCCACTCCGCCTCAAACCCGTCCACTCTCCTTTTCAACGCCATCATCCGAGGCCTCTCCCTGCACAAACTCTCCCTGGAGACACTGCAGGTCCACTCGCGAATGCGCTCCCTTAATTTCCGCGGGGACCATTTCACCTACCCCTTTGTTCTCAAGTCCGCCGCTGACCTATGCTTTATCGATCTCGGAAAATCCACGCATGGGCTGTGCTTAAAGGACGGGCTGAACTCAGATATGTATGTAGCAACATCGTTGATCGACATGTACGTCAAGTGCGGCCAATCAGTCTCCGCCCGCAGGCTGTTTGATGAAATGCCTGTGAGGGACGTGTCCTCTTGGAACGCGCTGATTTCTGGCTACATGAGGAATGGAGCCATTGACCTAGCAACAGAGCTCTTCAACAGCATGCCATCGAAAAATATAGTCTCGTGGACGACCATGATTTCGGGCTTCACTCAAAACGGGCTCGCAAGCCAGGCCCTCCAACTGTTCGATGAAATGTCTGGGAAGAATTCAAATATCAAACCCAATTGGGTGACGATTATGAGCGTACTCCCCGCGTGCGGGCAATCGTCCGCGCTCGATCTTGGCAAGAAAATTCACAACTTTGCCCGGGAAAACAGGCTCGACTCTCATCCTTCAGTCCAGACGGCGCTTGTCGGGATGTACGCGAAATGCGGAAGCTTATCCGATGCCCGGTCGTGCTTTGAGAAACTAAAACCGAGCTCAAGGAGTTTAGTCACTTGGAACTCAATGATTACGGCTTACGCATCTCATGGACTTGGTCTTGAAGCAGTTCGAACGTTTGAAGACATGGTGAAAGAGGGAGTCCATCCTGATGGGGTTACATTCACGGGCCTACTATCGGGCTGTAGTCATTCCGGGCTTGTCGATATAGGGTTGAAATATTTCGACTCTATGAGTTCGGTGTACTTTGTCGAGAAAAGACACGAGCATTACGCTTGCACGGTGGACCTCTTGGGCCGAGCCGGGCGGCTGGTGGAGGCTTACGATCTAATTACGAAAATGCCCCTGCAGCCCGAGGCAAGCGTGTGGGGTTCTTTGCTGGCATCGGCTAGGTGCCACCGTAATCTCGAACTAGCAGAAATGGCAGCTAGAAGACTATTTGTTTTGGAGCCTGAAAATAGTGGGAACTATGTTGTGCTTTCGAATATGTACGCGGAGGCCCAGATGTGGGCCCAGGTGGACGGCCTTAGGGCCCGTTTGAGATCCGGGAATGTGAAGAAGAATCCCGGGTGCAGTTGGATTGAAATTGATGGGAAAGCTTATCTATTCCTGGGTGGAGATGTTTCACACGTGCAGACAAACGAGATTTACTTGCTTTTGGAGGAAGTTTTGGAGAAAATGAAGGCGGAAGGTTATATGCCGGAGACTGGTTTTGCATTGCATGATGTGAGTGAGGAGGAAAAGGAGTATTCTCTGATAATGCACAGTGAGAAACTGGCGATTGCATTCGGGCTTATTAATACGGAACCGAGCAAGGTTTTGAGGATCACTAAGAACTTAAGGATCTGTGGGGACTGTCACACGACGGTTAAGTTTATTTCAAGGATTTATGGTCGGGAGATTGTGGTGAGGGATGTGAACCGGTTTCATCATTTTAGGGAGGGGTTATGTTCGTGTGACGACTATTGGTAAAAGGAAAAGTATCAGGAATGAGATTAGCTGGCTTGTGTTTTTTGGAGACTTTCGGCATTGGGCAGAGTGGAAGTTATGCATATGGAGGGGCTCTGTTGAATGATTGCCAAACTTTGAGTAAATTGAATGCGCGGTGAGACGTTTGCTGAATCTAACTGTGAGAAATAGCTCGGGCTGTCGCAAGGGAAGTATAATCGATATACCAAAAGTGCGTATGAGAAAGTAAGTACAGAAACACCCCTCCCTTTGATTTTTGGATTCTCAATAAATCATGTAAAATTAGGCAATTGAAACACTGGTTTGCTCTTTTT